CTGTAGCTGTGGCCATCCAACAGCCACTGACCCACCGTGGAGTAAGATGAGGGAGGGATACTACTGCATACACATAAGGTGACAAGCAGTGGAGTCTTCCTTCATATTCTGCATCCACAACAGAAAATCACTGTACCATACAGCACCTCAAATCAAATGCTCTTTTCTATACTGAGTTCAACCATTCAGGATTGTTACAGGAAAACAAAAAACAGGTATGTCTTCATTCTCAGAATGAAAACAGAGTAATTATCATTCCAATGGAAGTCAATAGGAGCTGTGGTGTCCAGCACCTCTGAAAATGTCAGCGTTGTCCATAAGCATTAATAAGATTTATTCATGCTTATGAAGAATTGAAGAGACCATCTGTTTAACTTTTAATGGCCACATTTCTAGAAGCATGTTTGAAAACTGTAATTACAACTTTTAGCACATAATACCCTTGTGAATGTGCATGCTGATGTTTAAATGTTTAAATATTTAGATATTAAAATATTGTCAAGTATTAGCAACTAATGTGTTTTGGTGTTTGTTTTCTGTTGTCAGTAAATATTGAATTATGCTTGCTAACAGTGTTTAATTAATGAGATAATTTTTTATTTAATCTGAGTGTAAAGGTAGTTGACAGCTATTATTTGATGGCAATACTATGAGGAGGAAAAGTATTTGCAAATAAATTCAAATGCTTCTTTCAAGACTCATGGATATGACCCTAACTAATGCATATTCATATTCTGGCTTTCAAAGAAAATGGTATCTTGATAGAAGTGTTTGGTCAAATGCAATAATTCAAGAGGAAACCATCACAGACCACTGGTTTCCAAGTATAAAAGCAGTCATAATAGGTAAACTGAATCTAGGTTTTAATTTCTATGGTGACTCATAAATAATAGGCACCATATTAAACATAAATCAAAAACTCAGGTTGTACAGGCAATGTTCAATATCTCCACTTGATGCCTTCTACAATTAAGGAATCTAACTGCCCTGTTTGCAGAGATGTGGCTGTTTTCAAAACACGAATTACTTTAATCTTCTTGAAATATAACTGATAATACTCATAATGAACACTGATACTCTTATAAGAGTATACAAGCATATAGAAAAAGCTTGCCACTCTTTGAAAATCATTTTTTTCTTATTTCCCCACTTTGGAATAGACTGCTTCTTTCTCCAATCCCATAGCGATTCACTGATGTGACTTTACTAATATGATCTAAAAGGCTGTTTTTTAAGAGTCATAACAATCTGTGGTGAGATTTAGCCACTCTTCTTCCTCATGCTGAGAAGTACTTTATTCAGCAAGCAGTTACTTGGTACCAATGGTGGTACTGACAGCCCTCTATTATAGAGAGTACCATTGGACATGATGAAGGGTACCTATTAACTTTGTTATGACTAGAGCTGGTTGGAAAATTAGAATTCAATTTCAGGAAAATTTAGAGGTTTTGAAATTCATTTTGAGTACTAATTGAACATAACTGAGATTTTTTTTTCTTTTTTTAAACTGGGACTGAGAGAGAGAGAGACATGTACTATAGCATATGGCATATTAATGAGAAATAAGGAAAATTACACTCTACTTATGAGAACATCTGTATCTTCATTGCTTTCCATGTAAAGATTCCAAAAACATCTCCAGATTATTAAATGATAAAACAGGTGAAATAAGTAAATTATATTTCCCGAAGTAAAGTTAAATATGCTAACAAATATTGCATAAAGAGAAGATTTGAGACATCTAGTATTCTCTCTCAATAATCAAAACCAATATTTATTGTTATAGAAAACATATTGCTTAGAATCTTGTGAGCAAGCCATTTTATGTTTCCACCTGAATCTCTTTCACTTTGTGACACATATTTGCTCCATGCCAATGAATAGGAACCCATACAAATGAAAAGAACTTGTGTATAAAAATGTAGTGTCTTTCTGTCAAACAGTTGCAAGTTGGCTGAGGATTCTGAACACACTATATTGACTGGTTCTGAGAAAATGCCCCCAAAGAAGAAACAACTGTAACAATATACAGTCTAATAACAATACAGGTACCCAATGTGTTACATTTCTGAACATAAAAACTTGCTTTATCAGTATCTTGGAGAGTAACTGTGACCCTTTCACATCTAATTAATCTATATTAAAACCTTTGTGTGTGTTTAATAAGATTAATGATGGCTCTCTGGGGAATCAATATACAGTGCTCCTCAAATATCATAGTAAGAAAACAACCTCCCTCTAAGTAAGGTTTTGAAGATCTCCACTTTAATTACATCCCTATCTCATCTGATACCATCTGGACCAAAATGATTAATATTGCTTGATTAGAATGAATATGTTAAGTGATTATATTTAATTTTTACAAATATGCTCCTGGGATCTCGACCTAATAACAATCAAGTACCACCTCTAACCACATTTCTATACATACAATTTATAGCACAAACCATATGATCTGACTCCCCACCTGCCTCCAGACCCACACTGCTTAGATTTAAAAGATCCACAAAACTCCCATCTCTGCAAAGTGGTCCGGATTGTATTCCCCTTGGAAACAATGGGACTAGTGCTATTATCTTCAGCAGCAGCAGACTCCAGTTCTTCCATATGGGTTCATGTAAAATAACCATGCACAAGGATTTCAGATGTGCCCACTAGTGGGGATATGATCAAAGGACTATTCATTTCTTTATGGAAATAAGTAGTGATTTGCAAATTCCCCTTTTAGTCTAGGCAAGAGGACTGGATAGCAGTGGTGATGTGAGTTTTTTCCGCAGGGTGATCCTGGACATGAATTAGATCACCTGTCTTTTAGGAAGACACCAGGAGCACAAGTTCTGAGCTGGGACCACTCGACAGCATGGAAGTGAACTTTGTCCCTATTGCAACACAGACTAAAATCTTTGGGCTTCAAGGGAAAGAAAACACCATCAGCAGCAGCAGCCCCCTGAGGTGAGATATTTCCACTCTAGACCTGGTGATTTTCATAAGGAGTCCTTAAGTGCCAGCCTGTTATTCTGCATCCCTAATGTAACTAGAGTCTTCGCTAAAGACACCACACACACCCACACCCACGTTTTAGAAGATCTATCTATCTATATATCTATCTATCTATTTATCACCTCCTAGGTGGTAGAAGTCTGGCAGCATGAATCCCATGGGCTCTCCAGATCAGTCTCAGAATAAAGCACTAAAGACGGGCTGGCAAAGGTGGCAATCAACTCCTCCCAAACTGTGCCCAAGTTACAGGGAAGAGCCGAGTTAATCCAGCCCTGGATTCTAAGTGGATACAGCTGCCCAGGTCAGAGGTGTTTTAGGTCCCAGCAATAAAAGTGATCAACTCCAGCGCTGTAATTCAGTCTCAGGTTGAGTCCTGCCAACTCTGACGGATTTAAATTCATCCCCTTATTTCCCTCCCCAAGTTTTCTTATATAAATTCTCTAGCAAATTGGATCAAAAGATCTTCACTGGATCTACAGCTCTGGTGCACAGGGGTCAGGTGAGATCATATGGGATTAAAAGTAGGGGATGATTTATTTCAAGGATCTCTCTGTCCATTCAGAAGATGCCCCTGATCTGGGAAAGCCCTACTGCTTGGTGCCATCAGTTAGCCCCCTCTGCAAATGGGGGAGAGGGGATTCCTCTGAGGCAGCCTGTGCTGTGCTCCAAGATAGAGAGACAAGGGTTGGGCTGGGACCTCCTCCCCACAGAGTTTTCCTTCCTGGGAACTGCAGGATGAGGTACCCTTTCTCAGAGAAGTTTTCCCCTCTGTGCCCTGCACAGGGCAGCTGCCCACTTCCTCCCCCTCCCTCTCTCAGACCTGGAGCCATTTCTGCTACCACTTCACATGCAACCTGCTGCCTTCGTGGCTGTGTGCGGGGCTCCACACAATTGCAAAGCAAATGAAGGGCCAGTACAGCAACTGGAGCTAAATAACAGCTGTAACCTGACCCGGAAATATACCTGATTAACCATTGTTTAGAACAAAAATCATCAGGAATCTCTTGCTCCCCCCAAAAGAAGCAGATTGCTTCCCAGCTTTAATCAAAGGAAACTTTCATTATGGATAAGACCAGATCCTCTTTAGAAAACAAACAAAAAAAAAGATGCATTTCAGGATGGGGGCAGGGAGGAGGAATGCATCCAAGCAACTGTTGGGCTTTCAGTTTGGAGATGATTTCCACCCTTTCCTGTCTCTTGCCTCCCCCCCTTTTCTCTTTATTTCTCACCCTTTTTTTCTTCCAGCCTCCTGCCCCCATTCAGCAACAGGTTCCTTCAACCCTTCTCATTCCCTGTCCCCAGTTCTTTATAAGTCAGCAAAAGACGCAGAAGCACAACAGCATGTCTTTTGCACTGCTTAAGATCTTCCTGTCATTCTGCTTTATGCTATATATGTATCATATACATACAGACATGTATACATGTTAGACTAGCCCCTATGCTTGTATTATCTATCATAAAGCAGATCCTATCTATCTATCTATCTACACACATACAGGTTTTTGAACTATCCATCCATCCACCCATCATTTTCTTTCCCTCCTTCCTTCGTTCATTTCTTTCTTCACACACACAGGTTTGGGAACTTCTATCTATCTATCTATCTATCTATCTATGACTCTTAGGTGGCAGCAGCAGCAGTGTTGGCTCGGATAAGTCCCGTCCCGGGCACTTGTTGCATAGAGAGCTGCTTTTCTGGTTATTTTAAAAGGGGTTTTCTCCGTCTCCCCCCTCCCCTTCCACCTACATAGCAAAGGGAAAGGAAAAAGTTCAACGTCCCAAACGCCCACACAACCTGCTGCAGCTGCTATTAGTAGATCAAGCGTCCCACTCGCTTTTTTTAATTCACCCCCTCTCTCTTGCTCCGGGAAGGGAAGAGGCGAGGAGCAGGAGGAGAGGGACTGGGGCAAGCAGGAGGCGGCGGGAAGAAGCGCAAGCCCAGAGCCAGGAAGGAGCAGCGGCGAGGGGAGGAGAGCAGGCAGAGAGAGAGGTCACTTTACCTGTGGTGCCTATACCTTGTTTGGTGGTCTCCAGCGGGAAGATGCCTGAGCACTTCTCCCACTCCACTTGCCCCCCCAGGCACAGCTCGGAGATGATCTGCAGCGCCTTGTGACACAGGCTCCCCACACCGTCCTCCTTGTGGAAGCTCATCTTCTTCTCCTGCCTTCCCCCTCTCCTCTAAGCCATCGCTTTCCTGGGAAGGATGCTGATGCTGTGCAGGCTGCTAAAATGCTACCCAGCTACCAAATCCCCATGCCTGCAAAGGAGAGAGAGAAGGGGGGAGGAGGACGCTGGAGGGGGACGAGCAGAGGGAGAACAGTGCAATTGACACGTTGCAAGTGAATCAAAGAGTCTCGGCAGAAGAAGGATGGGAAAGGGGGGGGGGAAGGAAAAGGAGGGAAAAATAAGCATCCACTTAGCAACGCCGTTGGTGCCTGGCGGGCTCCGGCCGGCGGCTCGCCCAATGGCAGCGCGGCGCGGGTGCCCGGCAGGGACAAGGTGGCGGCAGCGCGAGGTCCTGGCCGCCGCCCCGCCTGACAGGCGTCGCTTGTTATGGGTGGGCGCAGGCTTCTTCGTGTGCTTTTATGGGAGGCTGGAGGGGGCAGAGCAGAGGGACAGCGGGGCCACTGACTCCTCTGAGCCTCCTCGGTGCGCCACGCTGCCACCGTCCCACCCCGCTTGCAGTGCAGCCTTTCTCCCACTCCAAGCTGCTGGGGGGGGGACAATACTTCTTCCCAAGGGAAAAACAATAAGACTGCTGCTCCCTTTCTGGATCTGGGAGGAGAGCATCGCTGAAAACCCCAGGGATCCTGCTTGGTCTCAGGCACCTGCAGGAAAGACTGCCTGGGAGAGGAGCAGGCTGCTCTTCCGGCTATAAGTTAGCTGTATTGCTCCAAGAAAGGAGCACCTATTCCAATGGATATTATATTGGTATATTATATTGTATTCAGATATAATTTGGGTATATTATAGGGTGTATAGAGTATATTATAGGGTATATTATAGGGTGTATAGAGTATATTATAGGGTATATTATATTATATTCAAATATAATGAACATATATTCAAATATATATCATTATATTCAAATATAATGAATGCATGTTACATTCAAAGATATAATCAAATATAATGAATGCATATTATGTATTCAAATATATTATAGATCATATTCAAATATCATGAATGTATATTATATTTAAATATATATAATATTCAAATATAATGAACATATATTATATTCAAATATAATGAATGTATATTATATTCCATTCAAATATATATTATATTCAAATATAATGAACCTATATTATATTGTATTCAAATGTTTTATATTCAAATATGATGAATGTCTATTATATTGCATTCAAATTTATTATATTATGTTCAAATATAATGAATGTGTATTATATTACATTCACATATATATTATATTCAAATATAATGAACCTATATTATATTGTATGCAAATGTATTATATTCAAATATAATGAATGTGTATTATATTGCATTCAAATGTTTTATATTATGTTCAAATATAATGAACGTATATTATATTCAAATTGATTATATATAGCATATTCAGATATAATGGCATTCAAATATAGTATATTCAAATATAATGAGCATATATTATATTCGAATGTATTATATTATAACAGTGAATGTATATTATATCATGCAAATATACTGTATTACATTCAAATATAATAAATGTATATTATCTTGTATTCAGATATAGTCTATTAAATTATATATAGTATATTAAATTATAATATGTTAAATTAAAAGTATGTTGTCTTATATTCAAATGTACATTATATTGGTGTAGCAGGCATGGCATTTTATAAATGGATTCAGGCTTGTTAATTTTTTAATGTTTTTTATGACACTTTGTGGGAATTGCAGAGAACACACAAGGAAGTAAGTGTAACTTGATGGACTCGAGGATGTTCTGCAAACCTGAGCAGTCAATGGGGGCTTTCCAATGGTTTTTGTATCAGAGCCTTTCTGAGAAATCTGCTTCTTTCCATTAATACAGGTTCTACTTCACCATATGAAGGCAAGCTTTAATATTCACACAACCTGGAAAGAACAGAAAGGAACTTTTCTTCTTTTCTTGTTGTGTTTGATATGAAACTTCTTGGTTTTCAGTTCACATCTGGTTAAACATGCTGAATTTATGCTTATTAATTTCCTGGAACTTTCATTTCTTTAAAAGACCTACAAAGTATAACCTTGCATATCCGATTATATACAGCAATGTCAGTTGACCAAATCACGGCATCAGATATGGCTTTATATGACATAATTTCAAACTGGTGATTTGAACTAATCCTTTAATTTGTAAAGATATGAATAGCCTTAAAACTGTACAGTTACTAAACAGTTTAATCTCACAGTCTCACAGCAGTTACATGTTCTTAAAAGTTTGTATATTTGTGCTTACTTTACAAAGTTTAGCCCACAGCTTCATTCTCGGTTCTGGTCTAGATATTTTAAACAAATATCCATTGTTTATACAAAATTAGGCTTTAGGTTGATAATATAATTCTTGAAATCATGGTACGGTTTTGTATCATTATAGAAATATGCACTCTTTGATGGTTTTCAATGCTAAGCATTATCCAGCAGGCATAGTTTGAAAATAATTCTGCTAGCAATTAGTTTAACTAAACTGCCACTAGTCTGCTCTCGTCTGCTACTAGGATGTTTCTGTTTCATAAGCAAGAAAAGTTTACTTGCTCATCAATGTGAACTTTTCTGATCTGGAATTTTTCATCTGCAACCCTAAAGTTAATTTGTAATTTTTTTCTAACAAATGCAAGAAGCAGGGTGTATTCAGGTACATAATTTGATTCAATATTAAAGATATATTTTTAATATTTTAAATTCTTATTCTGTAGTTCAAATATTGAGGATACAAATACAGTATATAAAACAATTATGTGGTTATGAAAGCTTATACATTTATGAATTCATACACATTTATTTATAATAAATTTAAATGCTTTACTTAACAAACAAACTATAGGAACCACAGAAAATGTTAAGTTGCCTATATGCCTTTACTTTTCTATGTACGATCGTTTAAAAAAAATATCAGATGCTTTTATACAATGTTATCTTGTCCAATACATTTCTGCAGAATGACTTGTGAGAATTCTGTTTAAATACTTTTCCGAGACACAGGTAAAATGTTAAGATTCCTAGAAAAACAAGTCAGGTGAAAGAGCTGTGCAGTCTTAAATGAAATTCCATTAAGCTTTCATATACACATGTATAAGCCTGATTAATTTATGAAAATAATCTTGTTAGAGATGAAAACCTTCTGTACATATTTCATTCCAAGTGAAGAAAACTAATACCCTTCATACTTCAAAATAGGTATAGTTATCAGCTTATTGATGGTTCATGTAACATTTACAGCCCTGTATTCAAAATTCAGACCCATGTCACTGGTTAATAATTAAGGACTCAGTTTCCCTCTGAGGCACATGCATAATCCTTACTAAAAATATATGCACTGAAGGAAAACCAGAGCAACATAGGCCTATATTGTATTTTGCCTATTAGATATATGAGTCTTTTTGTCTGATCTCCCAGAAAAAGGCATCTCACCTCCAGAGTCATCCTAATTACTCTGGGTGGACAGTGGACTGCCCCCAGAGCACACATGCACTGAGCAGAGAGTTGTTTAAAGGCAGCTAATAGGAATCCTAGGTACAGGGGTGTTTGTGAACTGCTGCCTGCCATCATCTCAGGATCTGAACTGCCTGGAGGTGAACTAAGCCATGCAGTTTTTGCTCAACAGCCTAGTGGTTAGGCCACTTTCCCAGGAAGTAGGAGACATGGATTCTGTATTCTGCTCAGCTTGAGAAGGTTTGGACCCGTATTTCCCACTTCCTGGAAAAGTAAGGGTACCCTCTACCCTTCCTGTTAAAGCTTGGCCACTGAATGGAAAGGTCATGGCTCCACAACATGAGCATGTAAGGTGGGGAATTGCTCTGTAGCTCTTTAAGAAGGCCACTCCTTGGTAAAGAGAGAGCCCTGGGTTCTGTTCCCAATGTCATTTGCATTAAATAATCATGGGATAAAATACATGTACAGCATTAGAAGCAGAATCCAGGGCTCCATTTTTCCAGGGGGACTGCCCACATCATTAGACAACATAGATTCCCTCTTTCACGCATTCCTCCTGGCCTCAGTCACTTCTGCACTCCTTTAGGAGCAGTAGCCCAGTTTCAGTAGGAGGGAGGGATGATGCCCCCCCTCAGATTAGTTTACAGGGTTAGGGCACTATCTTGGGAAGTGGCAGAGATAAGTTGGAGCACTCTTTGGTTGAGGAGGTCCTAGGGCCATAGTCTTCTCCTGCTTGAGGAAGTGGTGTATCATGGCCAGCAGACACCACCACTGCCTCTTTTTTCTTCAGCAGTGTTTGAAAACCTGGGAGCCCTGCACATTCCTTTCAAAGGGCACCTGTAGGTGCCTACTTTAAGAAAAGGACGCTCAGCCCTAGATGCTAAGTGAATGGAGCTGCCTTCCTTGTCCAGCCCTGACAGCCTAAGCTCTAAGTGGGATAGGATTTTAGACTGACCCCTGTGCTTGTATTTTCCTGTTGTTTGGCTCCATTCAATTCCTCATGCATGCTGAAGGGATTTTTGGATCACCCTTCTGAGACATTTTTTAACTCTCCACAGGCACTGTATTGGGAGTTCAGGTGCCTAATCCTGGGCATTATATTCCATTTTAGGGGCTGGACATTTAATTTGGGGAGAACCAGACTCTTCTTTGGGTCTGGCCCTCACTCTTAAACTTTGTCGGAGATGCAGGATCTCCAGATTCAATTCTGAGCTCTGCCACAGACTTTGTGTGGCCTTGGGCATGTCACACAATCTTTTCCTAACTCAAGCCACCAGCAGCTATGCCACTGAATTCAGTGGTATCAGATTTTCATTACGTGTGTCAGGTTCTCGGCCATATGATGAGACAAAAAATATTTCCTTTCTCTTGCTCTTTGTATGTCCTGCTTATTTAGAATATAAGCTCTTTGTGGTAGGGTCACTTACTATATATATGTTGCATTCTAGGATGATGGAGCCCTAGACATTACTATAATAATGTTGTTCATCAGTATGTGTATAGAGTGCACACATCAATTTAA